TATCTGTTTGACTAAGAATTGAAGTAATGTTTGGTTTCACAATGAAACAATTGCAACAACAAGGATACCGTTTATGCAGTTTAGAACAATAGAAACAGAGGTGGTGAGAATACTGATAAGAATATTTAGAATGGCATGATCGTTTTCATAATGTTAATATCCAGACGTTGTTTATCTATGGACTTCATTCTGTAGCGTAACTTAACCTTGTTGATTTTTTCCAAGCTTTGACCTAATTTGTCTGGGTCAGGATACTTGTTAACATTATCATACCATTCTTAAAATTCTTATCATCACTTATGATAAGACTGTTTTTTATTATTCTAAGCTGAAGCTTCTATCAATCAGAACTTCATATAATGAAATATTCCAGCCTAAAAAAGAGAATGGTGATGCACTCACCTTATAGATAGTGATTAATTAGAAGTACGTTGTCGTTAAAGTGTTTGTATACAAATGAACCAGTATTTTTAAAGTAAACCGGAATTTCTTTGTCAGTATTAACGTTTTGGTAACAATAATCAGTATTAAATCCTGTAAAGAGCTTTAAAATAAAAGCTTTAAGCGGTTGACAGGTGATAGCCAAAGTTAGGGAATCAGTAATTATATGCTCTTTTTGATATTAAGAATGGATTATGGCTAATGTTGGAATCCAGAATGGAAGTTCAGTCCTGTTTTTGAACTCGTCATCTGCATGTACCTGGACCTCAGTAAGTGATGGTGTTGTCACTAAGACTCAAATGCACCACCCACTGTTTCAAGTGAAGCAGTACTATCCACTATGCTATTAGGTCATGATAACCGCTCATTGTCCAAAGATGAGTTTGGTACTAGGACTCATCATCTCCCGTTGTTGGTTGGTTTGAACCTAACTTACTGGCTTCTGTTCTTTTCGAAGATAGTGAATAAGGTTAGAAGCGTAGGAAGATGTCTTTGATTAGACTCAGTTTTTAGCGTTATGCAGTTGGGGCATTAACTTGAATTAACCTGAAAAACTGACTTTGATATCAACCAGCATATTAAGGCTGTTAGTAACTCTGTCCATAACAGTCTAGTCCTTGTAGATTATATGAAATAACACTAAAGAATAAGATATTTGCGTGAGCTTAAGATGATTAGTACTTCATTTTAGACTTCTTCACCCCCCTCTTTGACCTATCAGCCACTGACATTGTTCTGATTTGAGTTAACTATAAATCTACAAGGCATGTGTGACAGTGGAACAGAGAAAGGAAGCTGCGAAACTTATTTCAAGAATCACTTTGCTCAGAAAAGATTTTTTGGTACTATTTTGTAAACATTTTAAACGACTTTTACAGTTCTCTTGATTATTGTTTCATTCAGTTTCATTAAAAACCAATAGTCAATTAACTGTAAACTTTGCATCTAAATGGCTGTGCTGTAAATTTATAATTTGTCGTGTTTTGGATATGCTATTCAGCGGTAAGACTGTTTTCGCTGTAAATCTAAAAGAACAGCCTGATAAACGATTTCAAGTTTCTGTAAGTACTTTCAAGTAGGTGGTTCATAAACTTGGAAAAAAGCATAAGCAGCAATGGCTATATTGAGATAGTAAGGTGCGTAGTCAGTTATAATCACCCGACAATTTTATAGTTACATTCGTGGTTATCGGTATCAATCATAAGACAAAAGCACGAACGGTCTTCTAGTTTGGTAAGTTTTTTCATGTAAACTGACGAGTAGCATATAACATACTATCTAGCCAGTACTTCACCTACATCATTCAGATCTATATGAAGATGACAGCTAGTAGAACGGCTCAGTGATGAAACTTCTGATGGCAGTGCTGAACCTTATAGCTATGAATTTCATGATAAGCACGATATACTTTTCGAAAGTTGTAGACACATTTTCCCCATGAACAACAATGTGTACAAAAAGCATTTCAAAGTCTTCCAGGAGGTGGTAGACTTCTTGGTGACAGTGTGTTCCTTTCGAAAGATAAGAGATGGATATATGGATAAATGATGACTGAAATCTGAAGAGAATATCGGCTTCAAACAAGTTAATATCATCAGCATTTGTAGTGAAAAATGGAGTTTTGCTCCCACCTATGTTATCATCCCAAGGTTTGCAATCAGAATTACCTTCTATGGTTCGGCTAATGACTAAAATCTGGTTGGCATTTATTGTTTTAAATCGATTCAGTATGAGTCAAGTTGGTGGTTTATGAGAATTGACACATTTCAAGGTAGTATTTAGCACTAACTAACAACTGCTACGGAACCTTTTAAAACTTGGGACCACTGGACAGCTGTTATAACCTACTGTACGACTCTTCAGAAAGGCACCCCCACCACATCGTAAGGGGCTGAGCTCAGAACCACCAAGTACGGAACTAGAAACTTGTCTTTTTGAAAGTCTTATTTATCCATTTTTATGGTCTCTTTATGCTTTTGAGGCCTATTGGTCAGTTTCACCAATTTCTTTCACATTGTTTCCCTAATCCCATATATAAAAAGTAGTTAACTGTCCTGCAAGACTAACTCCAACAGACACTACGATTCTTGCCATTCAAGCTACACGATAGTAGCAGTAGTTCCACAATATGTTTCGAAGAAATTGGAAGTTTTTTGACATGGTAATCTCTAATTTTCTGGTCGTCTGCCAAACATTTTTTTAACAAGATATTAAGCCTAAGAGCTTTTTTAAATTAAGGGAGGCAGTAGATATTCCATGCAATGGCGAACTAAAACTGTTTATTCGGCTATTTGATTAATCCGACCTAAAGTACGTCAAGAAGTAGATTGCTACTGGGTTGAAACATCTTTTTTCAGTTGATCTGACACTAGTTTGATCACTATACATTGGTTGGGATGAGCTGATAAGAATATCAATCTGTATGGAAAAATATACTATATTTAAGACATTTTCTGTATTGTTGATAAATGCATTTGAATTATTTCAAGTTAGTATTCATTAATAACCGACATCACTTAGGGGACGGTTGAAAACCTTAGAGTACCGGTCAGCTGTTTCCTACAAGTGTGAAACTCTTCATCTGTCCAGTGCTCCTACGTTTCCATGGTTCTCCGCCTGATGTCAGTCCGTGGTGAATACCAACTTGAAACCGATAAACCTCCACAAACCTTCAAATTGCTTTTGACTTATGTTCAAGCACAAGCACATAATTTGTTTCTCGGTTCATGTGGTACTAACGAAGCGTAATCCACGAAAAAAAGAGAATCAAGATAAAATTTGATCACTATAGTACTGTAATGTGTTTACAGAAGGACCTAGTACTAAACGATGTAGGTCTTATCATGACCGAGGTCACATCAAACGGTTCACATGGGATCTCAATTACCAAAATCTGTTTGCTTGATATTCTAGAGTTCAACTCTTCATTTGGTTCCACTGCTATCAATCCACCTGTGCATTATAATCTTTTTTAAGGCATTTGTATTGCTCTCATTGAATTATAAAAGAAGAAAGACTTCAACGAACAAATTTGTTTTCGGTGATGCCGTTCCCAGAAGCTGTGCAATGATACTCAAATACTATGTTCATTCCGTCAGTGTCATTTGTCAATCACCTTCACGATGAAAACTAAATCCCATCCAGAGATTTCATTGTTTGATGTATTAACAGTACAGAGCAAGGGCATATCTCTTAAAAGATCCATTTTTCGAAAACTTATAAGGAATGAACAATTATTTAATTTTCACGGTTGGATTCTTGTTAGCTAGAAAAGAAACCGGATCTATTCTGGAATCCGGAAAACTTGCACATTTGAAACACTGGAGGAAGAACTGGACTCTTTTTTGTGTTTCTTTCATCAAAAATATAACGGTCTTCATTAAAATATATATCAAATATGCGTTCCTAAAACATACACCTTGATGGATAGAAAAAACTACTTTTAAATTTAGAATTCAGCGGGGATAGGGCAGATGAAATCCTGAAACTTCGAATTATGAAAGACGTTAGGATAAATTTTCATGCCATGACTCTATGAATCATTTATGCTAGCCATCGAATGGTAAATACCCCAGTGAAGGACAAAATTCCATTGCTAATTGCTTCCATTTGTATACGTAAGTACACCTGCTCCTGTTGAGCTACACATAACGTCGACGTGAATGCCATCCAAAATGGTTTATTCAGGGTCAATTTGAAGCAATCAAAGGTTCTATTCTACAACACTAATTCGACAGTGAACAAGCAATTTCATTTTATGTCGTTTACGGAATTCAGAAGAAGCTTTCGAAGAGTGTAAGTAAACTTCTGTTATGTACTGCTGAAGGTTTAGAAATACGGAAGTAGAAGCCACAGATGTGTATTGAAAAGTAGGTTTTTCAGTTGCTTTCCGTATTCACACATTGACAGTGTTATTTCTTAAAGCTAACAGACGCTTCTTGTTTTTGTGTTTTCAGCTATTAATCAACAAATACTGTATAAATGAGCTAATTTCAGCTTCTTAGGATGGCATCAGTGAAAAAGAAATTCAATTTGGCATTCATCCCGAACTGACACCAGTTGAAGGACAGCTGAAGCTTGGGAGCACTGGAAAGCTGTCTTTTCCTACTACGGGAGTCCTCAGCCGTGCATGCCCATAACACCGCTAGGGGTCGAATTCAAGACTTTCAGCTTCCTCGGCCAGAAGTCACTATGGTTTTCAGTGGTTCTCCAATTGACGTTATTTTGTGATGAATACCAACTTGAAATTAATAGAGGAATCTTCACAAACCTCCAAATGTAAAATAAATTTGTTAACAAAAGTCTTTCTTCTATTGTAATCCCAGTGACCTGCAGGTCGTAGACAAGAATACTAGTTTACCTGAAACTGTTGAACTGATTAATGTCGGGTTGTTGGAACAGTTCTCAGGTTCTTGAAATCTTATTCAATAGATATCAGAGAGCTAACCAATAGGTTTCTTGTTAGATACGTAGTAGTACTTTGACTCTCTTTTACTAGTAATCAGAAACTCTGTCCGTCTTTAAATAAATGACAACTTTTATGGGTGACCGATGAGTCATTAGAATATACAATGTGAACTCACATTATCGTGTGTAGTTCCATAGCTACCAATTGAAGACAGAAAGGAACCAGATGTAAGTGAAAATAATTTCACACTTGGAGCAGCCCAATCAGTAATTGCTAAACATCCCCCAGCTTCTTCTAGAATTTCTACATAATAGGGTTCAGTTAGGGCTGTTCTGCTGTTGAACACAAACTTAGTTGAACTTTCATCTCCTCCTTTTTCAGCTGGAATTTGACGAACAGGGGAATATGTATCACAGCGTATATCATATAGACTAATTAGATGACGACGACTTTCAACAACTGCAACCAATCCAAGACCGTAGCATAGACCACGTGGATGTTTAAGTTTTTCACTTGTTAGTATACCTTGTGTGCGTCCATCCAGACTAAATAATCGAACCTTAAATGAGCAAATTATTATGTATTTTTTAATCAAAATTCAGTGAAATTTCTAAAAAAACAAGTACATTATATTGACTACTTTGTGCATTAATTAATGGGAAAAATCTCATCCATATTGTATATTCATCTAGAAACAGTTTGGAATACTATGTATTTAGTAGAATGAGGATGGAAATGGTTCATTTCATATCATCAACTGGACTAGTAATTTTCAATACAAAAAAAATGGCAGTGTTCATCAACTCATAGTTAGATACTATCTGATGATCACTGAATACAAATACAAGAGCAGTGAAATATTTTCCGCAAAGTGACTTCTGTTAAACGGTCATTTAATAAGAAATAAGTGTCACTAAGCCAACCGATTCTCATTACTGAATACTTTTACTCCTTGATTATATACTGTCGTGATTACATTGCCATAGGGCTTCCTCAACATCATGATTTACATCAAGTATATAATTGTATGTGTCACGTTGATATTTCTAAGTGTAATTACCACACAGCGTTATTTATCCTATGATTTCGTTTGTACTATGTTAACCCTATCATACTTGAGTGGCAACGGAAGTTCTACCTTCTCTTTGAATTTGCATTCAGGTTTTCTTCAGAACATTTACTATTCACTGGTAATCAACGGATACTGAATAACAGTAGAATGTGGCTCTGAGTAGATATTCTCACTCACACTATTAGGATTTGATCACTTCTTTTAAATTTGTGCCTGTATATGTACAACCAATTTCTTCCGTTGTCACTTGTTTCGAACTCTTCAGCGGTCAGTCATAGACTGAAACGGTTGGAAATATTTGTCCATCAAATGAATGATTTTAGTGGCTGGTTGATGAACAAGCCAACCATATCAGAGGATTCAAGACCAAAAAGAGATCACTAACAGGGGATCTGTTTGTTGTAGCTGATCAGTACGTGATGACTCTAAACGTGGGCCGACTTATTCTTCCTCTTAAACTGAAACATTTCTCTTCTCTTACATAGATAGGGAATTCACCATTTCATTTCCTACCGACTTTAATTAAGACTGAATTATACATGCGTAAGGTAAAATACCAGAGAAAGATAAGTGACATCTTACCTCGTCTCGTTGATAATCTGATACGAATATCGTTCCCCAACTGGACGATATTGTAATGTCGAAGGGGCTGACAAGTCGGTCAGCCATTTCACCAGTATCACCTAAACTTGAAATAAAAGTTCCATCGTGTGTGAAAAGCTTGAAGATAAAAAATGAGAAGATGGATTACAAGCGTCGCATACTAATACTGGGAGAAGTACACTGAATATCATTATTTTGTAGAGTAAATATACACTTTGTGAATTGTTGTCTCAATAAGAGGCTATAAGGTAATTCTTTAGAAGTAAAATTCCGAATCATTCAAAAAGACTTCGTACACAACCTCCGCTGATGAATTACAAATGCAACTAAACACCATTGATACTAATCAGTTTTTCCCTCCAATTAGATTGAACTCGTCAACAAAGCAGACAATGCTTCACATTTATAGATGGGATTATCTTTAACCTTTGTAGACTCCTTCGAACCGCTGTTCTATTTCCGATACAATACACCGGACCCCCAACTTTTAGTCACTAGGACTTTTAAGAGCAAATAAGTAGTGCTGATCAATGATCGATTTATGCAAGAACATCAAGGCCATTACTTGAATGGACTGATTTCATTCCAAAGCTTGAATTCTACATTCAACAATGTGTGTAATTTACCGAGTTTCGACTTTAGGAAGGATGCTGGTGGATCTGTGTGAATTGCTAATAAAATTGGATCAAGTGTGTAGTATACAAACATTAACACATTACTGAAATTAGGAAGAACTACCCGAACATAGTGTGTTATTAGACTGTTCACAAGAACCATCATTTCCATCTTAAGTTAAAACACCTGCTCGATCATGAGAGTTTGGTGTTTCCTAGAACAGGGACTAGTACTGCCATTCAGAATACTGTTACGTCAAACATATAAAGAAGAGATTCAGTTGACCACGGTATATTGTAAAGCACAAAGAAGCTTTTAGGGAGTCGCATACCGAACTCAGATTTTTGTTGGCTTATAATAACAAGATGTGGATGCAACTTCAAAGGAAATTGTGTTCCCCATAGAGCTCGAATCTCCATTACTCATGTCTCTCGTTTAAGTTAGCATTACTTTAGTAGAGAACATTTCTCTGTTGACACGGGTTATTCGGTAAAGTGCAATTAAAATTCATAATCATTTAGATCCACTTGGGTTGCCCTCTCAGAAAAGAATTTAAGTATTTTTGTTCTATTATGACTATGAGGAAATGAAGGAGAAGATTTATAACTCAGGGTGAGTATGATGGTAGTTTGGTGTTCTTTGAGATTTGAATTCGAGTCTCAGTGGGAATAACATCACTTACTGAGATCCAGCTATATCCAGCTGACGATTCCCAAATAGGACGAAATGCGCGTCATGGATTCTTCCGCCAGTCACAACCAAACAAATTACGAAGCTTATATGGTCTTAATTCCCTCTTCTTCTGTGTGATGACAAGGGTAGTAGAATATTCCATATATCTGGGACAGGTGTAGGATCCTCTCTATTGCTTATATTTGTTGTTGGTTCGACAAACAAAGATTCGGTTATGAATCTCTCCCTCAACCCAAATAAATTAGTTTTCAACACAGTCACTCTATCCCACCCTACTGTGTGATTGTGTGTCATCGCATGCAGAGCTATAACCCAGCTATTCTCTAGATTTCTTATCTTATTAGGATCTACTAATCTTGATTTAGCTAAGCTTTTGTGCTCTGTTATTATAATCGACCCTGGTCGACTGCTTTGACCTATGCACTTGACCTCACAATCATTGCAAGGGATTTGCTAAACCAGATTAATTTGGTTAATTGCATCGGTAGGAACTTTTAACCTACAAAGCTTGTTTCTAAGCTAGTTTGTTGGTTTGAATGCCACTTTAATCCCAGCCAGCCTTATTGAGGATTCTTCGTAATGCTTATGAGGTGCTTTCCCTGTATGGTAACACAGTAGAGGCTTTGAATTCTCTCTTAACCCTGTCACCATTATTACCGTCAGTAGTGAAATTATTACTAATAACACCTGTATTATTATTACTACTACTACTATCACTGCTAATATTTTTCTTTCGATTTCCTAAAAGCAACTATATTGAGAGTGACTGGTGTCTTTATATATCTGAAGTCAGTGGTTATCGTCTTCTGAACTTCTCTTATATCTTCATTTATTTGTTCGACTTCTGTTGGTTTCCTCTTTATATGTTGTTGTTCTAAAGTGTGGTAAGCAGAAATGACACACTTTCATGTGTACTGTGTGTTGTTCTATCCATCTCATTGGCGTAATGACCTTATAATATTTACATTATATAAACAAATTAAAATGGTAGTTTGGTGGTAACACAGCAGAGACTTCGAATTCTGTCTCAACTTAGTCACTATTATTGTCATTAGTAGTGGAATTATTAATAATAACAGCTGTATTATCATTATTTTTATTATCATCACTGCTGCTAGTGGTTTCCTTTCGATTTCCTATGAATTTATTTATAAATTTAGTTGGGCAATTATTTAGACACAATGTATTCTTGATATGTCTAATTTCTTGTGATAGATTTTCTGGTCTACTAGTAAGCCTTTTTGCCCTATCACTTAGGCATTCAACTAAACCTACTTTAACCGAGGAGTGGGGGGATTTGAAGTCTAAGTAGCGGTTCGAACGGGAAGGTTTCCTATAAACACTAGTCTTTAAACTTTCGTCTTGTGTTCGTTTAATCTTGTAATCTAACATTTTTACTCCCATATTTATGAGTGAATCGCTTGATACACATAAGTAGTTCATATAAAAAGCCTTCGGATATAAAGCTTTATTAGTCGCAGTATATACACTATGTTCAGCTCCATATGAAGCCTGAGTCAAAGGATAGGGATCAGTTAGACTATTAAAATGTCCATGACTGGATGTTGTGGTTTCCGTGGATAATTTATGAATCACGATATCCAGTGCTGATATTCCCCATAACTCAGCAACTTTTAAGCTCTCCAACGGTTACGTTAAGAGGTTTTCTATTAGAATAAATCAATATCGAAACTAGTGAAGCCGAATTATCTAGCTAGTTTCGCCTGAACTTTATGTTATCAGGATAGCTTCAAACCCAAATGGTCATGGTGGTGCTTTGGGGTTCTCCGAGTTTTGATATTTTGTCGTGAACCTTTTATCACTAGGCTAAGTGACATTTCCAGAAGTTGATAAAGAAGTGAAGCACATTTTGGAATATTGCACGAATGTTTAGATATTGTTTTTCTTGACCTCGGATGTTGTCCGGTTCTAAATTGGGGGGAGAAATTTTTTATCGCACCCTGATCTCTTTGACCTTAAATTTCCTTCAGTCACGTCATTAGATATTCTTTGTTGGATTGAAATTGTGATGTCTGTTGTCACATTGTGCATCATTGTTGATTTGTTCGGTCAGTTCGCCCTTGGTAGATGGCTGACTGTTTTCTTTCCAAGTAGGTTGTAGATTGGGTCTGTGTCCACATGTCCGTCAACTGACATTTCTTTTCAATGATATGCTTCTAGAAAGATGGTCACAATGTGACAACAAACATCACAATTTCAATCCAAAAAAGAATATCTAATGACGTGACTGAAGGAAATTTAAGGTCAAAGAGATCAGGGTGCGATAAAAAATTTCTCCCCCCAATTTAGAACCGGACAACATCCGAGGTCAAGAAAAACAATATCTAAACATTCGTGCAATATTCCAAAATGTGCTTCACTTCTTTATCAACTTCTGGAAATGTCACTTAGCCTAGTGATAAAAGGTTCACGACAAAATATCAAAACTCGGAGAACCCCAAAGCACCACCATGACCATTTGGGTTTGAAGCTATCCTGATAACATAAAGTTCAGGTGAAACTAGCTAGGTAATTTGCCTGGCAATTTTTGTACAACGGGTATTAGTTTGACTATTTATTGGTATACTTGTGATTCTTCGTTGTTACACTGGATGGAGTTGTTCCATCTCTATCGACATATGGGGTCCTATGTGAATACCTCGATATTGCCTGAATGTAAATTATGATAATCTGTTTGGTTGTGGCTGTGTACAAATAGTGGCTATCGTACCTACGTGGCACAGTGGATGACCCCCTGGCGTTTGAAACGATAGGTACGAAGTTCGAGTCTCAGTAGGATCAACATCATTTACTGAGGTGCGGATACATCGAGCTGATGAGTCCTAAATAGGAAGAAAAGCGCGTCCTGGATTCCTCAGCTAGCCACAACCAACCAGGTTACTATCTGGGACGCGATCAATACAGGCGAAACCAATGAAAGGTAGTGAAGGAAACTTAGTTACCAAACAGTAGAAATAAAGAAAACGGTAGCCTGACCACATCAAAAAACTCTTGAATGGACAACCACCAACACTACCATCTGCAACTCGTCCAGAAATACTACCAGCAGCCCAACCACGGAACTACCAGTGAACAAAAACCCTCCGAGAAAAGCAGAAGTGATATCCTGAATGTCAAAAAGTTACTGAAAGCCAAGAAAGCAGTAGAACGAGATGGGATTCCGCCAGTAGCACTGAAAACAGACACAGAGACATCAGTGACGGAAATGCTCACATCACTGTTGCACAAGGTTTGGAAGGGTGGGAGGAAAGGTACCTTCGGGTTGGAAGAATGGCTACCTTATGAGGGGACTTCCAAAGAAAGGGAACTAAGCCTTTGGAAGAACCGGCGAGGAATCATGCACCTGTCCACACCAAGAAAAATATTAGGCCACATCTTCGTGGAGAGACTAGAAAATGCTCTGGATTCAAAATCACGACCGGAACAGGCTGGCTGGGTGGCTAGCTTCAGGAAAAACAAATCATGTGCGCATCAAATTGCAACGCTACACCACGCGTCATCATAAAACAGAGCATAGAATGGTAGTCAACTCTCTACCTTATCTCAACTTCATCCACTTCGAAAAGGCCTTCGACAGCGTCGACCGCGAAGTAATTTGACAGGCAGCTACATCAACACCACGGTTTTGGTGCCACAAACCGTCATCAACCTCATTCAACAGTGGCTATATGCTATGCTATATGATGAGGCTACATGTGAAGTGATTGACAATGGAAAGCTCAGAGATGCCTTTGCAGTGGAAGTGAAGACAGACAGGAGTAAGACATGGTTGCCGTTTTCGATCACCAATGATCTTCCTGATCGTGATGAACTGAAATAGATTGAACTGGACTGGACTGGAGTGGAGTGGAGTGGAGTGGAGTGGACTAAATTTGATACGACTGGACCGAACTGTATCATGCAAGAAACTATCTGGAGTGAGAAGATGGGTATACGCTGAGTGGACTGATGAAAAGATCCTAGGAGATTTATATTTGGCCGCCAGTGATGGTTTATGTCTGATATCTTGTCGCACAAGCTCGAAGATCTACAGGCGAAAACCAACATGTTGGCAGGAAATGTGAGGTGAGGTGGGGCGAGGTGAGGCGAGGCGAGGCAGCGAAGGAAGACAGGACTGACTTCAGGTGAAGGTGAACGCAGAGGAGACGGAGATAGAGGTGATGAAGACACCCAAACAACGTCAACAACAACAATAACAACAAGCATCAATCATCATGTTGATAATGATGATGGTGATGATGAATGCACTACATTGTACTGCATTGCACTCAGCACAAAGCGTGAACAAGATCAGGATCTTCAACACTAATTTAGTCAAGTCAGTGCTTCTGTGTAATGGTTGAGAGGCTTGGAGGCACGTTGCGAAAAGCATTTCCAACAAAACACAGACATTCATCAACAGCTGCTGCCTGTGCTCGCTCGATGCTGAAGATCAGGTGGTCAGAATGATAAGAATGAGCAAGAAGGAACTCTGGCTGGCTGGCTGGCTGGCTGGCTGGCTGGCTGGCTGGCTGGCTGGCTGGCTGGCTGGCTGGCTGGCTGGCTGGCTGGCTGGCTGGCTGGCTGGCTGGCTGGCTGGCTGGCTGGCTGGCTGGCTGGCTGGCTGGCTGGCTGGCTGGCTGGCAACGAACCAATCAAGAACCCATCACCCAACAAATATGGAGAAGGAAGTGGAGATGGACTGGATTGGGCATGCACTGAGAAGACCGATCGGGGACATCACGTGCCAGGTCAGGCCATGTCGTCGAGTGGAACCCGAATGGTAACCGATGGTTTGGGCGTCCAGGGTTGACATGGATGAGATGGTGTGAGGAAGAAATGATTGCAGAGATGAGGGTGAAGTGGTGACATGCTAGTGAAGCCATATGTTTCACTAAGAACCGGCAGCAATTTTATTACAACTACTACAAAAACCTAAAGTATCTTATCATTGTACGGAACTTTCAGTTTAAATTTATTGATAATAAATAGATTCATCAGATAATGCACAAATTCATCATGGACTTAAACTTCCGATTGTTTGACCATCTGCCGCAGGGGAAAAGAAACCTAAAAGAAAGGTGCTATTATCTGAAGGAACGACAAAACATTTCACTGGGACAGAAGGATATAATTTGTAACTGCATTAAAATCAATCAAATTTGTTGAAGTTTAAGATATAACAATAAGTCGGTCAAAAATAGGATACGAGTGAAGGGCGATAGAATACTGAAGATATTGGGATCAGTAAAAGTTTAACATATTTGATCTCCTGCCACTGGTTTTGATTCACATCGTCCAGAGATTTCAGCGAATGTGTGTCTAAAAAGCACTAACTGAGGAGGCTGCACTTTCTTAAGTGATTCAAACCCGTAGTCACTTCATATGCCAGTTTTATGGCTTGTCACCAGTAGGTTCACAGTAAAGTCGGCACGTCACTTTGATTTGGTATCAGTAAGATGTAGAAGTTTGCAATTTCATCTATTGACTTAAGTTTCTTACCTACAACTATGCACCGTAACTCAGTATCTCCTAACCGGCATCTCTGATACACTAAAAAATACTTTGAAGTGGTCCATACACTAGGTCAGTTGATTTCATGTTCTCAAGCAAATGGCAAGCTCAAGAACTATACCAAGGATTACCTTGATAAGGATCAGCGGTTATCGTCACCTCAAAAGACATTTCATTATCAGCTCCCACATAAACTGAATTCAGATGATCAGCAATTAAAGATATAGAGTGTTTGGATTCAACTAGTTTCAAAGTGATTCACTACCAGGGGATATCTCTGTCAGTGTATCTTTCTAAATTCCCTACTGAGTAGGCAAGTATTTCGGAAAATGGTTAAAGATGGCCTGATAAATTTACCCTCGGTTAGCCCTGAAGTCTGTATACTTTTGGGAAATGTGCTGTTCATCGATCGTATTTAACGGTGAAATGATCATAAACTTTAATATTTAAGTGAATGAACATTGGAATATTTTGGCATTCAGTTGTTTCTACCCGTTTTCATTTTTATCAGTTTTTCTTTCCGATCAATCTCTTTAGTGGATTTAAACAACTGTTGGGTGATTACCGATTCTGGTTTGTTTGATATGTATTTAGTTTTTGAGATCTTCCACGTTTTAAAGCCATGGCAAATATTTAAAGTCAATATATTTTTGGGCTGCATTCGATCTACACAGTGGGTGACGTCAACAGAAAGTAATCCTCTTGCACTGGTTAGTTCAGAAGAGGCTATCAAAATCGGATAGCTTTTACCATCTTTCAGATCTAGATTTATTTCTGTGTGCCTGTTTCTACATCCTATCGGGTATGACACCAAGTTATTTACGAATGAAAACTGACACCATCCTACTACAGTTTCCTCCATAGTTCCTCTTTAAATGAAGACTATGCTTTAATCTCAGAACTGATAATGCAGAAAATTCCTAGGTACATACTCCTGTGAGTAACCAGAAAGCATACCAGGAACAGTTCATGCTCCCAATCCACGTAGATATCCAGTCTACATATTCTTCCACTAAGCGTTTTGATTTCTAACCATGACTTACAACACGTGATAGAATACTCCATTCATGAAATCTTTGTTAAAATCAGTGTATGCAGATGGAAAATGATTCTATAAAATATCTACTGATACATTTAATTGGACAACTATAACGTAATAAGTAAATGCATGAAAGGTAACTATTGAGTTCATCGATAAGTGGAAAGTGCACATTAAACAACACTCAGGTTAGTCCACTGATGTTACGTGCAAAATCACACTTGAATATTGTATGCATCTCCTACGAACACAACGTGTATTCATAGCGAGGGATATTATCACCTTGGTTTGTGACATTTAGTGTTCCCCTTCAGTATTCAGCGTGGAGAGAATAACATTAATTCAAGAAACGGCAAATGCACTCACTAGGCTCCAATCTTTTTAAGTAGCAAGAAGTAGAATTACTTTGAGAAAGAAATGATAGTGGCTATTTTAGTAAAGATATAGTATGATAAAAACAAATGAGTCAAATTAACAGGACTGCCAATGATCTTAAAGAAATTGTATATTTTTGAAAGCATTCAAGCAGTTTCCATGAACACGCAATTTGATAACAATAGTAATAACTTGATAATAAAATGGGTTAGTAATGCCCACTCTAAAAGCAGAGGATATCTATTTTAAGCTGTACATATATGGCCCCTCAGATTTGTAAGTACATGCTAATTTCGATCTATTCTTGGAAATATCTCAGCCTATGTGGCTGCTCTCTCTCTCTCTCTCTCTCTCTCTCCCTCTATACATATATATATATATATATATATATATATATATATATATATATATATATACTATAACAGTGATGGAAGCCATAAGGTGAAGTGAAATTCTTAGCATCCAAGGATACTCTGTTCTAATTCTACCTTCTTACATTAAGAGAGAAGCGTACCTCTGAATGATTTGCGTTCTAGGGAAGCTTCATAACACTGTTAACTATCTGTATAGTTAGCAGTGTGATTTCCCCCTCAGACCCCAATCAAAATGCAGATAATTTAAATTATGACATCAGTTGCCTTTCGTCTTACCACTTTTAAGTGAACCTATGTTGAGGGGTAAAGTTCCAAAAGATAAGCGTTTTGACTACTATAAATCGAATGGTTTATCATAATATGCAAAACCAACTTTGACATTAAGGTAGTAGTTGTTGACCACGACAGCACTAAGTTACCATTCATCTTGTTGACCAATATATATTATGTATACTGTACAGTCAAAATATATTTCTGTAATCAATGTATGACAAAATCACTTGTTGGAGACAAAATAAAACGCTTTTCCACAAGCTGCAGTCGTATCATAACTTGTTAAACTGCCCGCTAAAACCTCCAGATTCTTTGTTATGTCAGCAAAGTCTAAAATATGCACTAGTTTCCAAACATACACACCAGAATAAGCTAAACAATGAACTCACCTTTATTCGAGCATTATCTCTATCAACAAGATAAATATCGCCATTCGACTGATTAACAGCTAATCCAGTCGGCCATACATCCCTTAAGTCAGAGCTAACTCTTGCATCAAACTCTAATTCATTAATCACTTGATACTTTGATGCAACATCACATCGTTTACTGATTGGTTTATCTTTCATTTTATCAAATGAGTAACCATTTCTTGGTGTAAGGAAGCCATCACTGATTTTGAAATGACCACTGATAAAGATAGCAAAAAAATAAAGAAACAAGGGGTTTATGTTACCTTTAATGCATAGAAAACTACTACAGAGTAAATGAAACTTGGCAAACCAAGTATCTTTTTCCAACCACCTTCAGAACGGCAAAGAAACACCAGTTGAAGAGATTTATCATAATGATTTATAAACAGACAAAGCTGTCGAGAATAAAAAAGCTAGGAATTCTTCAAGGTATTTCGTCATGATTCAATAACCAACATCAGTAGTTTCTTTCTGGGTTGAACCGAATATCTTTAGATCTTTAATACCTGCTGTTGGTTTATTAGGTTGAAATGCAATACTTTTAACCTTGGCACTATTGGTGGTGTTTCAAAAGGAATTGATTTTCTGACTCTTAAAAACATGCTGTGAACTGTAGACCCAAATAGGTCGCAGATAGTAGCAGATAGCAGAATAGTAATGCTTTGGGATGAAAATTTTAAGATCATATGATTCAGGCTATTGAGTCAGAGTCTATCGATTTAGCTGTAACGTAGTCCAGAGTTAATCATAGCATAACATAAAGGTCGCTTCTTCCTGACAACAGATAAACTATGACACAGTGTCTTCTAGTGGGGATACAACTTATATGACTTCACGATGCAAGTTGTTTCGGAGTTTTAGTGTCCTTTGCCTGTATTCAGCTTGCTAACATTTTAATTCTACAAAAGACGTAATCTGTGTAAAGAGATTCATATGCAGTCTGAGCAGTAAGTTACATTAAAATGATCCGAAACAGTTTCATGCTATGCACTGAATCAGCCCTACTACACGACTGATGAGACAGGTTTGAAACTAGTAAAATTTTTGTTTCACATTTAGATGATCTCAGCGTGATGTATGAATGGATTTCAACTCCTCATATCAGTCAGCTGTATGTATCATATTTCCTTTCCATTTACTTGCCTAAAGGTAGTCATTGTGCGCGGCTTACTTTTCCAGAAGTTAAAGTGGAAATTTTAAACATAAAATGAACTCGTCCGCTCTTCTTATCACTGTCTATGAATCTTACTAAAACTCTCTATGATTAAATGAATATTTCATGCAGAAATAGAATCTTTCTCCTACCTTCCATCAGACATGTTCAGCATATCTCAAAAACTATCCAATAAGTCACCGACAGGATGCGATCAACTCTAAGCACTATAGAACGCTGAATCAGTCAGTCCCCAGTAACCAGTTGATATTTATCAAGTAAACTTTAGTTCACTTATAAAATCAGAATTATCTGGATTAACTATGCTTCTAAGGAATCAGTATGGCTGCAAAAAATTACGTCACTTAATTTCACTTAATCGAAAATCTGTATATGTATGCAGAAAAATATATGGTGAAAACTTTTCTCGTTTCAATTAGTCTTTCTGATCAATGGAATTGAACCAACAAACTGGTTATACAGTAAACGTTAGTATACCAATATGTTAGTTTGCTTAGTTAGCAGATATTGTCGACTTAAATTTACTAATGAATTTCGTAATCAAAGATGTTAAAATTCAGAATAGTTAATATGATTATTATGCTGGATTAGAAAAAGTAACTTGAAGTAAACCAGGTCATTATTCAACAGAGTGCACTATAGCAGATGCAATAATTCATTTTACATTCAAATGATATGTCTGTGGAAAACTTATTAATGCCGAGACAACTTTTATTACGCATTAAATCCCTACTTGATAGATTTCATAAGATTCTCAAAAAAAATCATCGTCCATATATTTAACCAAATTCTGTGGGTGGACAGATATTTACAGGTAACTTTGTCCAATAGTCGCTTTATGACAGAAGTAAGAAAATACAGACGGATGAATTATAACCCAGTGCTTGAATGGTGATGTGTCAGTCCTATGCGCGACTTTTCCAAGGTTTATAGACAAAATATTGAAAAGTTCCGAGTTGTAACGCAACAGCTGTCGAGTACTCCTTGGTTTTCAATAGTTTTCTGACTGTCATTACATCTTTAAAAAATTTTCTCAGGCTAAAATACATTCTCATAATGTGTTAACTTGGTAATTTTGGACAACTTAATTTCATCTTCAATTTTTAATGTTTTACTAACTGTCTGTTTTCACCAGGTCCAAGATTGTACAATGACAAAATTGCCTGGTATGCCTGAAGTAATTACCTATCAGGATGAATAACATAAACCAACTATTAAACCTTCGAGAGTATATCTTAGATGATTGGATACTGTTGAACTGGGGTCGTACCCAAAAGTTTTGACTTTTTGGACGTATACTATCTATTTGGAGAAAACTCTGTTCTTTAAAAGGTTTGAAAACATGTTAGTTCTAAGCTATTCATGCATCATATCACTTGCATCACAACCATGTTTAATCTCACCAATACGTGTTAGCGTAAACTAAAATACGGAGCTTCATAGAAGCGGTTTTATTTGGTCTACTTATTCCATCGTACAAACATATCTAGTATCTGTTTACTATTTCGAACAAATTTATCACGCCATACGACTGAATATTATGATAAACAAAACAGTGGAATAACAAATCGAGAAAATTAAAGTATTTTTTCTGTCTGTAAATGTTCATCTCTTTTTGTCTTTTTAACATGATGTATTCAAGTTCAAACCAGGCCCGGTGGCATGTATGTTGTGATTACATTGTTTATATCTGAAACAGATAAAATAATCCGACACATCAAGTCAACCAACTAAATAGCGCCTGAAAAGTGACATACTGGGTGAATTATTGGTAGTAACTAAAATCTAAGATAGACGTAGTGGGTTGATGGCTTTGACAGTAATGATATACAAAATTTAGAAAAAAAGCTTTCGAGTCCCCAATAAACTACCCTGTATGACAAACAAGACTATCCTGTACGATTAAATCACTAACGACAAACAGTTATGCCTTCATAATGAGATCTAAACAACCATTTACTTAACAAGTGTAATGAAAAAAATGAAAAATCATGTGTCACTCAGCTGTCATATACCGCTGAGATTTTAAACTAGGTAACCTAGCTCAGGTTAACATACATCACCAGTTGGTTCTTTAGTTGATGCGGTAGACCAACATATTAATAGAGTAGAAGCTAGTAGTTTGAATCTGTATTTGAATTGTTGTCGCGCTTGGTCTTATTCACCATCATCTTAGAGGTAATTTAAATGTTATTATCCTTATTATTTTTGTGAATGCTTTTGTATACATAGATTTCTACGTGGTAAACATGAAATCTTGCTGTTAGGAAACACTAGGAGAGTGACCGCCACATATTTCAGATGTGTAATGATTTTATTAACTGAGTACATTCAGCAAAATTATAGTTGTAATTCTGTATTACTTTAAATAAACTTCACCCGTAAACTAGTCACGATAACATTCAAAAATGTCATCATAAAATGGATATTTTGTCTCGAAAACATCCCTTTTCAATGTGACTTACATTTTGTTTATCTTATTAAAGCAGAACACAACGAACATACTTTAAAATGAATGAAAATACCCCACACTTATTCTTAAATAGAAAGGAAGTAAAGTATTATGAAAGAATAACTTTGTTCTGAAATGAGAAAGGGAAGTAGTATTATGAGGAAGATAAAATTTCCGAAAGTATTTTTCAGATGAGTAAAAAGACAGATTAAATCATCCTAATAAAAGCAACTATCTGTTGGTCATTAAATAGTTATCACCCACAAAATGTTCATATGTCATCTCACGTATAAAGCTCAAAATATCAAGTGGGTTAAATAAAAGGATTCATAAACCGCATAAAATTCAATTTGACTGTAACTAATATGGGTAATTTATTTAACATAATATTATTTAACCCATAAATCCATCTTCATGTTAATTTATAGGAATTCAAGAATCCTCAGCAAATTTTAAAGCTAAGAAACATGAAACACTTTCTTGTTGTTCAAAACAAAACATCCTTTTGCATTAAGCTACGGTTATTATTATTAGTACTATTACTACTATTATTATTTGTCCCTTAGTTGTTATTGTTGCTGTTGACGTTGTTTGGGTGTCTTCATCACCTCTATCTCCGTCTCATCTACGTTCACCTTCACCTGAAGTCAGTCCTGTCTTCCTTCACTGCCTCGCCTCGCCTCACCTCACCTCACCTCGCCCCACCTCACCTCACATTTCCTGCCAACGTGTTGGTTTTCGCCTGTAGATCTTCGAGCTTGTGCGACAAGATATCAGACATAAACCATCACTGGCGGCCAAATATAAATCTCCTAGGATCTTTTCATCAGTCCACTCAGCGTATACCCATCTTCTCACTCCAGATAGTTTCTTGCATGATACAGTTCGGTCCAGTCGTATCAAATTTAGTCCACTCCACTCCACTCCACTCCACTCCAGTCCAGTCCAGTTCAATCTATTTCAGTTCATCACGATCAGGAAGATCATTGGTGATCGAAAACGGCAACCATGTCTTACTCCTGTCTGTCTTCACTTCCACTGCAAAGGCATCTCTGAGCTTTCCATTGTCAATCACTTCACATGTAGCCTCATCATATAGCATAGCATATAGCCACTGTTGAATGAGGTTGATGACGGTTTGTGGCACCAAAACCGTGGTGTTGATGTAGCTGCCTGTCAAATTACTTCGCGGTCGACGCTGTCGAAGGCCTTTTCGAAGTGGATGAAGTTGAGATAAGGTAGAGAGTTGACTGCCATTCTATGCTCTGTTCTATGATGACGCGTGGTGTAGCGTTGCAATTCAGGTTTCTCGTATTCATGGTGATTGGTGTTTGTTGTTATTGTTGCTGTTGACGTTGTTCAGGTGTCTTCATCACCTTCATCTTCTCTGCGTTCTCTTGAAGTCCAGTCTTCGCTATCTCTTTTGTCAACTTGTTGGTTTTCGCCTCTAGATATTCGAGTTTGTCCGACAACACACTAGACATAAATCATATGCGAGATCCTCATCTTCTTGGGTTCTGTCATCGGTCCAGTCAGCGCATGCCCACCTCGCTGGTCACGGTTTGCTACATGATGCAGTCGACCATAATCAGGAAAATCATTGGTGGTAATATGCAACCTTGTCTTTCTCCTATCTGTCTTCACTACAAAGACATCTCTGAGCTTTCCATTGTGAATCACTTCGCATGTGGCGTCTTCATAAAGCTGTTGAATGAGACTGATAAAAGTTTGTGGTATTCCGTCGTGTTGAAGCAACTGCCGAATTGCTTCTCGGTCGACGCTGTCGAAGGCCTTTTCGAAATCGATAAAGTTGAGGTAGAGATTTGACTGCCGTTCTGTGCTCCGTTCTATGATGATGCGTTGTGTAACGTTGCCATTTTAATGCGCACATGATTTGTTTTTCCTGAAGCCAGCCAGCCTGTTCCTGTTGTTATTTTGAGTCCAGCGCATTCTTTAGTCTCTCCAGGATGACACAGAAGTCTACAAATAGTTCTCCATTCTCATTCATTTCACCGAGTGCTTCTCGACCCACGGTGAATTCTCTTTCCGTGTTGTCCACTCCCAGTTTGCCATTCATTTCACCCCACCCACTAGAATTTTGATGTCACCAACTGGAGTGGAGTCTTGTCCAGTACTGATTGCAGTTGTCTGTAGAATTCCTCATTCTTCTCTTCATCTGCATTACTTGTAGGTGTGTGGCGTAGCATTGAATGATTGTGACTTTCCTTCATTTTGAGTTGAATCTTGTTGTCATTATCCTGATGCAGGAGGAGATTGGTTCCCATTGCATGAGAGAGAGAGCTTTGGATGCTGTTGTGGACATCATGATAGCCACTCAAAAACTCAGTGTGCTGTGTTCATGGTTGTCATCTGGGTGACAACATCTGAGTAGATTAGATTATTGACTCTCCAGTTAAGAGTTTGGAGAGTCCACTTGCATTCCATCTGCTTTCGCAGATTCTAAGCACTTAAATGTTATACCCTTTCATCTGTTTTGCAACCTGAGCGGCCTTGTCAGCCAGCTTCAAACATTGCGCGGGCATTCCATGTCCCCTTTTTTACTTTCGCTTTCATTGAGAGAACCGAAGACACATTGGCCAACTGGCTTCTCGAAGGCTTTCACCGACCGGTGTCATTTCTTCGCCCCGATTCCAGAGAGGAATAGGTTTTTTTTATATTTTGTTTGTCCTTTGAAGTTTCTTTAGTGGTTGGATTTTTTTAAGGGGTAGGGTTGGTAGCCCTATTCCCAGCCTTCCCTCTTTATCCGGGCTTATGACCAGTTAGTAACTAGTGAACTGGTTAATCAGGCGGTTTTAATTCGGCTTCTATAAGTTGTGTTTTTAATATTTCCCTGCTTCCTTGTAATTTATCGGTTGTGATTGTTGTACAGTGGACCAATTTACATAAATTGTAATGTGCACTGCAAATAAACAACCAAAATTATGTGAAATCCTATAGAAACCTTTCTAACAGACACCACTGAAATTTTCTTTAATCTAGTAATTATCTCATTGATACTGAAAAGTCGTAACATCTCTTTGAGATTTGTGATTACCGATGAGACGGACTTCCAAAATTTTATATTTCTTTACCATTTTCACCTTTGGTAGAATGAACTTGGAAGGCAGTTAAGCATTTTAATACAAGGCTGGAACAGCTTTGCTATTTTTCAGGAAAAAAGTAGTTTTCCAACCAACTAGCTATGAAATCGAAAGATTTTCCATTTGAAACATACAAGTTACAACTTTCAGTGATGAGATCTGAATGACATAGTAATCTGAGCACCATTCTCAATAGTCAGTAATTTAAAAAAAATGCTTGTTTCGGAATCACCAATAAATGCAACTTGATATAATCGTGGGCACAAGGTTCAACAGCATCACAGTTAAGTCATGTAATTTTAGGTGTACGAAGTTACAGAACTAATTTATCTTTGACACCTAGTTTTTCCATCAGTTTTACTACAAAGATAATCCAAATTCTTGAAAACCGTCTTTCTATAAAGATATTATTCGGATATGACGTAATAATGATATTATCTGAATACAGTTCTCTGAATAAATAATGGTAAAGGTTGGATGCATAGTTTTCAGAATACGCATGATTACTAAATAGATTTGAAGGGAAATCTAGATTGCCTGAGTATTTCGACCAATGGTCTTTGGTTACCAGTCAACAGTTTTCATAATTATCGCAAATTCTCATAAAACAATATGAAAAATGTTGTGTGAATGCGTTCATCATTTCACGTGTCTACTCCAATGATGGCCAAATACCTCCTTTCAGCAATTCAGTACACTTGTTTGCAAGCTCTGTTGTTTATATTCATGTATGTATGTGTGTCATTCGACAACTATATGAAGACTCCACATACCAGCCAAGTAATTCATGATGGGAAGGAAGCTCAATGATGCTTTTGAAGTGAAGACAGGAGTAAAACAAGGTTGCCTACTATCACCAGTGATTTTCCTGATTGTGGTCGACTGGTTCATGCAACAAACAGTGAGGAGCGAAAAGAAGGGGATACGCTGGACTGAGGAAAAAATCCTAGAAGATTTGGATTTCGCCGACTATGATTTGTGTCTAATGTCACACAAACTTGAAGATCTACAGGCAAAATCCAACAAGTTTACAGAAAAGACAGGGCAGCGAATACGGGACTTCAAGTGAATATAGAGAAGACAGAGGTGGAGGTGATGAAGGTACCCAACCAACAACACCAACACCACCACCACCAACAACAACAACAACAACAAACTCCAATCACCATCAACAGGAGAAACTTAAAGGAAGTAGCCTCTTTCACCTATCTAGACAGCATCGTTTCGACTACAGGTGGCGGCACAGACGAGGATGTTGAAGTCAGAATCGCAAAAGGAAGATAGGCATTTATTTGCCTGAAATCAGTGTGAAGATCTTCCGTACTCAGCATAAAGCGTAAACAACATCCAGATTTTCAACAGCAACATCAAGTCAGTGCTTCCATATGGTTCAGAGACTTGGTGCATCACGAAAGACATATCCAACAAACTATAGACACTCATCAATAACTGCCGCTTACGCTGGCTCCCTACTGAAGACCAGATGGCCAGAAAGAATAAGCAACAAGGAACTCTGGCTGGCTGGTGACGAACCAACCAAGAATCCATCACCCAACAAATATGCAGAAGGAAGTGGAGATGGATGGGATTGGGCATACACTGAGAAGGCCGACTGGGGACATCACACGTTAGGCCAGGCCCTCGAGTGGAACCCCGATGGGAAGCGCTGAGTTGGGTGTCCGAGATGAGGGTGACATGGAGCAGATGGTGTGAGGAGGAAATGAGAGCTTGTGGGCTGACGTGGAGTCAGGTTCAAAAGATTTCAGAGAGGAGAGTAGAATGGAGACGTGCTAGTGAAGCCGTATGTTCCATTAGGAACCCAAGGGACAAATAATAATAATAATGTATGTCGCGGCTAAACATTAAATGTCAACAGGCATGAAAAATTATCAGTCGACTCCCAACAGTAGACATCTAACACACAATGTTGTTTCAATGATAAAAAATGAAATTTCTTCAAGGTCGCAGATACAACTTGCCAATAAATGTTAACAAACAGAAAATCAAAATCAAATAGAGAAATCTTGTTGGTGTATTTTTGACAGCATAGACCACATATGAACACTAAATTATGCGAAACAGGATGTGACAAAATGACTTACTCAGAATTCTGTAGATATGATTGATGATTAATAGTGACATCGCTAAATCTACCAGCATGATTTAGACTGGACATCGTATTCATCTCTCTTGGACTTGTATTCACACCAACTGATGTATGACCAGTATTTAAATGTGCACTATCAAGTTCTAACTTCAATTCATTTTTTTGACTAAGATTAATCCGACCGACAGTTTCATTCTTAATAAATTCTCCTACAATTTTATCATATTCAATAGTTCCAAACAGATAGGATGAATTGAATAACTGGCTGTTGTCTTCCGATTTACGTTCGTTGCAGTTATAATCTCCATCTCTGAAGACTGGTTTTATACGGACTAAGAAGATAATAATAAGAAAACTATTGCATTATAGTAGGATCTGTGTGTTACGTATGATTTTCTATGAAAACAAAAATTATACTGTTGATAGTAATTTAAGAAAGTCAATTATTCCCTTATATTTCAGAAAAGTCTCATTCATTAGCGACAAAATTATCAGAACTATAAAATCAAATAGGATACCAGCAAAATATACAATCGGTGATCTGAAGTGCAAAATTAGATTGGAATTTAATGGAGAAATTTTACCTATATTTCTCTAGGAAACGTAGATTCGTGTGATTTGAACTCTTCATTCCTGTGATAAACACATTACCGTATTTTCAACCTTAGATGAAATGAACTGTAGGCAATCCATAATTGTAATATATTGGAAGTGATCCTTTCAGAGATATGATTCAGAGGCTCAAACATAATATTTTTGCCTCAACGTTTGAAGAACCGAGAAAGCCACAAGAATATCCACTTATTAAATAGTCAAAGTTAGGATAAAATAAGTACTAAAAGCCTTCCAACTTTTCTTGTTCTTCAAATAAGAAATAAATAAAACAGAAACCATTTTCGAAGCAACCAAGTTATGAAAAATAATATGCTGAATACACTCCTAATGGACACAAATAACTCATTGATATAAGAAAAGAACTTGAGATCTATGGTAGAACGTAATCCCATAATAGATGAGTTTATTTCATATAGCGTACTGTGAGACAGTATTACTTAGTCCTTAACTTTGTTCATAGTCACATCAAGGAGAAAAGCCGTTCAGTGAGTAAAATGATGCCCCTGTTTCCTAATAAAAGAAACTAATTTAGCGCATCAATTATTTGCTTGAGGAAAGAAGTGAAATCTATGACCAGGAGACTGATATAATAAGATATAAAAATAAATGTAAACAGTAATGTGATTTAGTTAATTAGCTGAAGTTAGGAATATACTATTGAATAACATGAGTTTTTAGAAACCAGTCATGGTGATCCGCAGATTCTGTCAGTCAGATCGGAGTGATACAAACACTGGACAACCATTTCACTCGTCTGGTATCAAATTCATCAGTTATGTACCCCGATAAACTCAGCTCACACAGGAAAATCGTTCAGACCAACTAAATCTGACTGGTTGGCTGGGACTGATCAGTATTCCTTAAATAGGATGATTAATCTAAAAATTATTTACTAACCGCTCGGTCTACGTTGATATACCCCCATAAGTGAGTAGTTTTGCAACTACCCAACTGTGTCAAAGATTACAGCTCATAATCCTGATTCAGTGAATTTCAACAGAAACCATATTAACACCAGAGTTTAGCAGTGTGAAAACTATTCAGCTATGAGAAGTGATTCGTAAATTGTTTGAAAATCGACCACCGAACTTGAAGTTAGGTTATCGTTGCTCTTACTGCAACTAAAATTTCTAGGTTTTATGCACAAAATCTAGTTGAATAACCCGAGCACAGCTTAGAAAACTCAAAGATCCAGTAGATGAAGCAGGACGTGAATTTGAACACAGTGTTCACAGATGATGTAAGCTGCCTTTTGCAGAAAGCTTTTTATATGAGTTTAAAAATAATCTATTTATTTTGTTTTGTAATTCGCTACACCACTTTTCCAGTGATTGGTTTTCCTGACATGGAATCCATCAGAAATAAGTTAGTGACATTTTTGATCGACATTTTCGCCAGATTGAAAGGGCTTCCTTAGGGAGACAAGATGAATGTAAACTTGTCATTCAATAATCTCATGACCAGTAGCATGAGCTAACGGTCTACGAGCAATACTAGCCTACCAGACTACAAACGATACGAACCTAACGCTCAAATGAATCGACTTTAACGGAAATCAGAACGTCAACTACCGCCGTAACAATACTACCGACGCACGAAGAGAAGACAGACCGTTGACAGAGAGATTTTTACTGTCTCAACTGCAGTCAATACAGTAGACAGCGATGCTGAATATAAACAGTCCCAAATAACCCTGATAACACTAAATCCACATATAGGTTAAAATAGTAAACAGCCGATGAGAGTTCAGCCTTGAGGGTAGAGAATAAAAACCTAGGGACTGTATAAAAACAGCTATGTACTTTATTTTAAGGTCCCGGGCAAAACAGCAGGCAAAAGCTATCCACAATTAGGGGTATATAGCAAAATAGGTTGATTAACAAAACTTTACACTGATTCCAGCTCTAGCGGATATTCTCTCTTCAAAAATTTCGGGAAGAATTTCTTACATAGACTCGATTTTGACATAAGCTGGTAGCGGAATAGTAACTGACGTAGTAATAGTAGTAATAATAATTTTCATTCAGCACTTATTCATCTAGTTCGTGCTAGACATCAAGTAGATGTATGTAAGGCGGCTAGAGCAGATTACCTTATATCCAACTTAAGCTTGACTCTGAAAATCGACCTTTTAATTACACTTAAGACCTGAGGAGTTTATTTTAACTACCAAGAATTATTTCTGGTTAGGGGTTAAAATATACTGAATAGCGAAACGATGCTACGCAATAGAAATACACCGTAATAAGGCGTACGGTAAGAAAATAAACAAGGGGTTATGAAAATAAAAGCCTAATTATGTAACACATGATTAATCTATGCATCTTCAACTTAATAAAAATATGCTTTGTGAAGTCAGGCCATTAAGCTTTTTTTAGAACTCATTCAAAACCCTCTACATGGCCAAGTCAAACCACTGGAAAGGAGCGAGGTAGCGACATTCGGGTATAACTGAACTAGCCATTCAGAAGTTTAAAGCAGCGCTATGTCTAAAAAAGGTACATTCAACCTTTGGCTTTGCTATGGCCATCATAAGGTCTTGATTGCCATACAACACTCATGTATAACGTGATTATACTTTTTCATAACCCACTGTTTATTTTACTTCCCTGAAGCCTAATTAGTATCACGTATCATCCTTTCCTTATTCAGCACTTTGACCCCTGACCGGGAATAGATCTGGAATGTTCTGCTCATTGTAACACATATGAATGAATGTACCGATTCGTAAATGACTTCGTCGCAAAGAAAGTATTTTCCCCCCTCAGTAAACATCTTTTTGTTCTTTCCTATGATCAAATGGGTGTTTTCTGCCCTCTTAAAATAGCTACCTCTGAGTAGTCTTAACATAGGATCAAATGCCGACAAGATTTGTAGTTTTGGGTTAACTTGATGATTTATTTGTGAGTATTTTAAACCACTTGGGTAAATCTCTATCCATTTCAGACCTAGATAAGTTTAATCAAATGACTTTTTAATAAAACATTTCGTTACTGAAACAGCTATAAGCAGCATCACTAAGTGCATAAAATTTTCTGTCGACTTATTTTATCACGCTCACAGTAAAACTGTATTAAAGGTCGGTAGAGGAATACTGGTAAAAATTCTGAAGAACAATCTGTTTCCAAGATTAAGGGATTCGATATAATTGCCATATGCTGCAACAAGTGGCAGTGAAGCGAGAGAGATAGCTTCAAAGGAGAATGTTACCATCGGAAGTCTACGAACTCTATAAATCGTTGTGTTATTGATTTTTACCGGTGAAGATATTTATGGACAATGAAGCTACATTAGAAACCCGTCAACTCTGAAATCTATGATGAATTTTGATCCTAAAGAAAAATTCTACATCATTGTCAAAAAGCGCTTTAAAGGTGTTTATTGGTGTTCCCGTTTTCTGCCTACTTTTAGACTGAAAGAGAACAGCATGATATGTTTTTTAGCTGGAAGCAGTTGAATGTTAAAATAGAATTTAGACACTATACGGTACAAATCTTTTTTGAACTACAAAAGATCGGTGGAAGTGGCGAGGAAAAGATGCTTGTGGCTATACAATTTCGGAACGTATGATGCACTTTGCACGAATATGTAAAACACTGTTTTTCATACAACATTAAGTATTTAGTAGCCATACGAATTGTACGATACTGAGGAAAGATTATGAATTTTCAAGCTTTATCATGATACGAAGGAAATTTTAGATTATCGACTAGATAACAGTTGTCATATCCATGAGAACAAACTCATGAAGAAGTTCATAAAATCCACCATGTTAAAATATAATTGGTGTCATGAATGAAAAGCAAGTTGAAACATGTTTCTGGGATGAATGTTGTATTCCTACAGTTCTGTGGTAAAAACCACCCTAGTTAAAGTCGAAAAAGTACTCAGGCTTCATCAAGAGAGCTACATTGCTAACTAGTGAACGAAAATATACCTCCCTGTAAGTTAGATCTATTCATGATTAAATATGTTCACTTGCTTCAGTGTAAAAAAAGCAGTTAAACACCCATGCATTCTGTAAGAAGAAAACTTCTTCTCCGCCACATGAATTAAACCGAAAGGATACCAAAGGATAACTTCCAGCTTTCTAAACCGCATAGGAATGGAAGCTTTCAAAAGTGAATCGAGAATTTATCATTGATTACTTCTAATTACAATGTGTTAGACTTACCCTTTAAGTATTCAACCTTCTCCTGTTCTAGGTAACAAAGCTGTTCATTCACTTGGTCCAAAGAGAAGAGTATCTCCTCTGGCCTAAAAAAATATTATAGGATTAAAAACAGTAAGAAAGATCGTTCTGAAAGGTGTCAAAGTCTGACATCAAATATTTACAGATATTTACATGGAAAAGGTTATTATTTGGATGGAAAACATAGTTTTCATTTGTATTCATGACTAATCAGCTAGACTTATTTATATCTGTGTCTTCAGTGAAAGTCAAACTAAGAACCCACCACTGCAAACAGCCCGAATGTAACCTTTTTTCTGTTGAAAAAGACAGCTATTTCTTAATCCAAGGTTTTGACTGTAGTTGAGAATTACATGTTCGCGCTTACTAACTGACAAGTTTGAAGTGATCACTCTTATCAGAAATCACAGCCATTATCAAACAGTTTTTACTAGGAGCTCATATTCCTAGAGATTTGTCAACCAACAAAAGGGGGTAAGTGATGTAGTCATGTATCGAAAGCACAAAGTGGTTTAGGGTAGGTATTAAGAAACTTACCAAAATAAATAGAACGATGGAAACATCCAAAATAAGAAGGAAACAACAGAACTGACAAATAACAGAATGAATGAGGAAGTAGATGCAAAATACACCCATTACCTCTAAACTACTTTTTAAAAATAGAATGCATAAAAATCTATAGCATGATAAACAGTTCTTTTCATTCTGAACTATCTACCGCTGTACCTGGAGCAAGTGGTTCAAACGTTCTGTCGCGCACCGTGTGGCGCATCGACAGATGCTAGCGTGATAAAACTTTCCTTCATCTACGGAGCCCAGTCATAGATTAATTACACCTCTACTTTTTAAATTCAGTGCCGTAGCCAGTAGGACGGTGGATCGTATCAAATCATACACGTCAGATGTCTAGTTTTGGTTGTATTGTGTCCTCTGAGCAATTAAATAAACCAGCTCAGAGAACACAATACAACCAAGACCATCCACCTGAGCTACGAATATTCTCCATTATTTCAACATGTTTAGTTTATCGAGCTTTTGAATTAATCATCTCCATCGCACGCAAAAACAGTTGATCCTATGATCTATGTTTGGTAAAATATACTACGAAACAACTACAAAAGAATATTTCTAGATTTCGCGAACCAAATCACGATAATGTAAACACTAAAGCTAGTTCTGCTCGTTTTAGAGCCGAGTTCAACCAAAGGGAAGCAAGAACTTAGTGACATTTAATGAGCCACAGTGAAATAAGTGTAAAGTTTTCAAATTTCAAAGACATAATGCAGATTCAACTAGTACATTTATGCTGCTAATGTTAAAATTCACATACTCTACAAACAATGTCGATACAAAATACCTACCAAATAAACCAATCAGAATTTTGCTGATCTTGAAATGTAACAATCAGTAGTTTTAGTGTTATTGCTTGTCCCAAATAGGACGAAATGCGCATCCTGGATTCCACTGCTAGCCACTGCCCATCATTACTAAATCAGTAGTTTTGCTTACAATATTACCAAAATTAAAGAGTTTGTCACCATGTATAAATAATGATATTAAATTTATTGGTAATCAGTCAGTGATTCGTATGTTTTATAAAAACTAGTCCTATTCCTGTCAAAAAAATATTAACTACGATGATTTAAGATTGTATTCCTCAAGGAAACGAAACCACTCTGACAGATGATTAGCTCAAAGTTTTTCTGAATTCAAAGTCTAGACAAAATGAACACTCATGAAGCAATGGCAAACTGCCCTTTTATTTCATGTCCTAAGTCAAACATCCTAAGCCCACATTCCTGAATGATAAGTATTTAAATTGATGGGAACAAGCTCTAATTGACCAACTATTGGATACTGTTGGAACATAATCTTTTATATAGCCTACTGATAATAAATACAAAGCCAAACATTCTTCATCTAAGAATTCGACTGAACCAAACTTCCTCATGCATTATGCAACTACGCGCAGTGTTCAGTGCAAGTTTACTTCGCTGAACTATGAAAATACTTCCGCAAGAGTCAGTGACCATAAAGGTGACCACCTGAAATAACTAACTATGCAAGACCGGTTGAGCTGAATGGAATACTAGTAAACGTCGTGAGCAGTTGTGTATACTCCACACATATTAGAGAATCTCACTAGCAACCCGACTACCCTAAGGTTTCACTGCCTTGAAAATATCTTTCTCAGGGTCATATCTAGAGTGGTTTAGCTTGGAAGGAATCAAATCATATTCAACCGACCAGGATAAATGAGCAGTGCCTAATACTGAATGCATAATCTGGGAATCATTTGTAAGTCCACAATTTCTTGCAGTTCAGCAGCTTTGAACACATATGATTGTTTATTTCAGAGACTAATCAATCAAAACACAGACTGTGTAGTCGGTTACATTGTAGTATCAGCCTTAGCCCATATGCTACTCAGTGTATTAAGTCGGTTTACTTTTCTATCAGTTTGATCCCGTTTAATATACCTTGTGATCAACTGTTTTACAAATTCTTAACAGCCGTTTTGGCATTAGTTCAAATGCTTTACACGGTCTGATATGAGACAGCTTGTTATATGCATACAAAACAGAATCATTTGTCTACTTACTAAAAATATTTTCGTCATAACGTTGACTGATAGTATTAACACAGTATTTATAATGCCATTTTTTAACCAAGTTGTTTATATGGAAAATCTGATCAAAATATTTTCTGCCTCTTGTTGTCAGGGCGAAAAGTGCATGACAGTGAACAGTTGGAACAAGAAATGTGATATCAATTAACAGCATTGACATTAGATATAGATTGAATTTGTGTAAATCACAGAGGTTTTGAAATCAAATAACTCTAACTTTTCACACGAGAGTCTGATCCGAGCTTCTTCAGGGAAATAATCGAAATTACAATATATCTAATGTCAACCTTTTACTCAGCGCCCAATATTTCCCATACTATACTATCAAACCTTGATCATAGTTTTTATAAATTGACAGAAGTGATTGAATTTCGAAACTCAAGGGTCAATAGGTCCAAAGATATGTTGAGTACTGTGTACATATGTATTTTGCTGGTAGCCTTTTACTCTCAATACAGTAAGACCATTTAACTCATCTCTTTAATAAGTTTTGAAGAATTTTTCATTACGAACAAACATTCATTTGAAAATCAAGGGAACAAGTGGACATTTGTTTAGTTCTAGTTTGAACTACTTAGGTGGTCATGCGATCCTAGTATCCTACGCTAAACAGACGTCTGGTTATAAACAACGTATCGTTAAACTGCAACTTATTCCTTAAATGAAACCTGTTTTTAATTAAAAAGGTCATCTTCCGAACAATAAATCCTTCTGTAGAGACTTCAACATTAGTGGAGACCAGATAATGTGCTCATAATAACTATCCGATTGCTGGATAACATACGTGACTCATACTTAAGTTTGGTCATTAAAGCCTGAGTATTTAAGGGTCAACTGCTATAACTGTAGCACAGAGTGGATAAGTTCGATTCCCTGATATGTTCATAAATTTGTTCTACAATGTACATGGGTTATGCAAAGCACTTAAGATAGTAAGAAAGCTTTCTTTGGACTCTTTATAGCATATTCAACATCGAGCCTAGTAGTTTGACATCAGACAACTTAGGTTAATAAAACTGCAAAGCATAATTCACTTAGCATTCAGTACTAGAAGACACGAAATGGGTTACTGTCCAGTAGGCAAACAGGGTGATTCCCTAAGACTACAAGTCCAATATGAAGTATTTATTCGTACAGAATTCCTTATGCTTCCTTTGCAAGACAATGTATATTGTCAAAAATGTTAATTAAAAGTAATCTTTTACGTTTGTACACGTCAGTACACGCAACATGCCATGTAGCAAGTATGAGCACCGCAATTTAAAATATAGACTAAAGGAAATTTGTGCAAGACTCAGTTGAAATGTTATGAACAATTATGTTTTAACAACACAACATGTAAACACTTAGAATTGGTTTGGATTGTTGAGACACTACGATGGTGCAATTATCACTCACGAAACTCGTACCATTAACGTTAACTCTCATATCAAATTATTAAATATCAGAGACAAAACAAATAATCATAAAACTTATTACTGAATGAAAAAAGTACACTTATCCTTATCTGAAAAAGAAGTGATGAAATAAATCCAATTAAAGCGCATTTTAAGCATAGTTAGTGACAAAGATGAAGTAACCTGAAAATCATAGACTAACTGATCAGTTTAGACTGAAAACTATCATCATTTCCGATTGCCGCTTTATAGTACAGCTCAAAATATGCTTTTAATAATGTTTTTAAAAGGATAGATTGTTCAGCTGTAAGGCTTTCATTGTCATTCTAAACAATGTCGTTTCAGTTAACTTCAAGAAGCGAGCAGCGAAATTCTCCACACCTGTGTAGTGAGTCAGCGAATTCTGTTGGCATCGACTATAGCTGGATCTCTACGAGGGATATTTTAACACTTGTGTATCCAACTAGTTTTTCGGCTACCTGATTTTTAAACTTGTGGCCTTTTTCTTAATGGATAAAAAATTAAATTTATACCGATGTCAATATGATAATTATCACAAACTGATATCAGCTGGAGGATCAACGGAAACCTGAGAGCACTCGACTATAAATTCACACAAACTGCCAAACTGAATTATATCTGGATGTTGACACTTAACTAGCTCATGAATAACATCGTAATATCAGAGTAAATGTAAGGATAGCCAACCAGCATACAGGCTTAGACATTGATTTTGTGTTCACTGATACCTATCAGTGAACGACCAAAAACTCATGGTTCCTCAAAGTTTTAGATCTAGGTGAAGCAGTAACTCAGTCACAAACATTATCACTACACGATCTGAACAGCTTAGGAGTTATAGCAGTTATCCAGATACCTTTGACAACATGAATTAGGCCTTCAGTGCTAACCAATACAATTTCCACTAACTCGATTTTCTGCGTATTGCATGAAACGTACAACACAATAACTTCGGATAGCTAGTTAGGTAATCCATGGTAAAACTTTAAGATATTCCACTGATGATGACTATTGTATGCATCAGTAAATTCTAGGATATTTGTTAAGAAACTTCCCGCTACGAAAAATGACACCAGATTATTTTGGCTGTAACCGAACCAAACCGCAAGCTGATTCAGAGATGTGCTTTTAGGATACGACAAATTCAAAATGTTCTTTTGATTTTCAGGAATCCCTTTACTGCTGTCACAGCAATTATGTTTACTGTTGTTGAACGTATCCTTCTTAGACTTCCTATTATCACATAACAAGAGTTCTCAATGAGGATTTTTATCCAAAATACAAATAACTGTGAAAAACGGAAAAAACTTATCTATACGATGTATCGTAGTAGTTAATGGGAAAGATACAGAGACAATGTGAAGCTTAGATAGTAAGCCTTGCCTTCCTATCTAATTTGTATAAACAAGCCTCCAATAGCCTTGCAACGGTAAAGCATGTTTGCTCCATTATCTTGCTACAAATTAATTCGACTAAAAAAATTTATTAGCAGATTAGTCGAATTGCAACACCATCATATGAAGTGCCTTTGGTCCATCACCCATTATTAGAGCACAAATGAAACTTAAAGGGGGTTAGTTTTCCAAGATTTTGAGTTCCTAACCTCTGAAGCTGCTGTTGTACTACCTAGTTGCTCTTGTTCCAGAGTATTTTGGTCACCATTTTGTTTGCGTAATATACAGGTCTGATATGAAGATGGTTCACTTTTCAGACATTCTTCGTACCTGAATTTTCAGGAACTGGGATGACCATTTTGCTCAGACAAGCACTTCCCAGACTATTTTATGAAGAATTTCAGATAACTGTTTGTCTAAACAGTTCATCAAGTTCTGAATGTCTTCCAGAATGTTCCGAAACTTTATATTCATCTTTGACCGCATCAACAGATCTCTGGTGGATGAAGAAGTAGGTGCTGACGAACTATCAGGAACAAACCTCAAACCTCAGAGAACACTAAAGAATTATCATCTTCATCTTGAACTACAAATTTCCTTCACTATCTCAAAAACCACTGACTATACATATAGAAAAAACTAAAATTTTCATTTATACACAGTCCCTTTAAAGTAGGCTGCCAGTAAGGTCAGTTTTTCATGCCAGGACATGAATGATTTCATTAATACAACACTTCTTTCCATCTGTGTATCCACTAGATTGTGCATTAACTGCTTGTTGTTCTCGAATTTATTTAAGTCAGTAGTGAATTTGGCGTACTCCAGTTGTGAAGCGTACATTTTGTACAGTTTCGTTCAAAGAAACCTGTAAATACTTTAAGCTCTTGGACAGCTAATGAAAAAACCTTCCAGTACTCCTTCGCTCAATAATCTGAGCATTAAACTTATCAGACCTCAAATATTTACGAAGTTTATCACTCATATTGGAATCAAAAAACAAACCCAAAATAATATTTTGAAGTCACTGTTTTCAATTAGGTGCTATCTTTTTCATCAGGTACTTTCGATCCTAAGACTTAGTCTGTTCACAGTTAACACTTATCCTTTAACCAGTTACTGTTTTTTCTGTTCATAGATGTTTGGTACATGTGTGAGTAGGTATACATCAAAAGTGGGTTTATGTTAGAAGTCTATAAATTGCTTATCTGATATTTTGTTATGCCGGCTTATATGCTGATATATGGACCACCTTTCACCTTCAATGCAATCACTGAATATTTTTCCTGAGCTATAGATGATAGGAAAGCGACTGGTTTCTTTCATTCCACCTACTTGGAAAATCATATTTCATCCACAATCGTAATGTGATGACAAAGTTCACCAGTCGGCCTTATAAATGATGATAATAATAATAATGTGAGAATCAGTATAAATATTATTAACCTTCCATAATCCTTCAGAGCGTTAGCATATCTACTGGCCACTTTACATTGTGCAATTAATGGATATAAGGACCATGTGCAGGCGTCAATTACTTTCAGTTCATCTTCAATGTGTTTATTAAGTTGACTGATAAGGTCAGTTGCAATTCGATCAACTTCTTGCTTAAGTCGTTCAGATCGATCTTGAATCTGTTGAATTATATTAACTTTTTTTTCACCAAGTTCACGACCATATTCAACAAGATGATTTAAATAGTCCTGTTAATCAACAAAACACAAGTAAATTTATCAAAATTAGTTAATTTTTAATTTGACAAGTAGACCTTAGTCATTGTTTTTTCACATGAGATAGATCAAATAATTTTTTAATCCCTTTCTTGAAACCTCTATACTATCATCAGTTATACTTTGTCAACAGTGGATTTCGAGTAGCAGGGGAATAAAGCCAAGAGATTCCGTCTTTTTTGTGACATTATCTGAAACCTGATGAACCATAATGACTACCTATACTTGTCAATCAGTAGGTGGTTATTACAAATCTGTTTTGATATGATGAATGCTACAGTATAGGCTCAGATAGAAGACCAACTTTATTAGGGTCTAAACGCATTCGGTGAACTAGATACAGGTGAGTAAGTTGTGGTGTTATTCATTCCTTGAATAACCATTAACGAAAAGTGTCAATTATTTCAACTTTACTATTAGTTCTAGCGGTACGACTATGATGTTTGAACTGAAACTGAATAGGCACATTTGAGCCTTTGACCTAGAGATTTCTAATGATCAACATGGATCCATAAGCTATAGACTTACAAATAAAATAAGTGATTTATACTACTACAGTAAAAAAACTGCCTAGTTGCACATCAATTTTTGTAGCAAACGTTTAGTTTTATACTGAAGGGAAAATGATACAGGATATAGGCTTTCTAATGATATAATGTACCAGCTATTTATCTCAGTCGAGAAGTCACTTGTTTCCTTGTTTCCAGTGATTTTAAGTGCTACAGATACCTGGTATAATTATGTTAAGTTACTTTTAAGATTAATTTGACACTTCTGATATGCAATCACCGCTTACTTGGTATTTTGTTCTTAACCTACCTGGATTGATTTACCTATGTACGACACAAGCATAACTAGTGATGAATACTGTCAACACCGAAGTACGTTCAGTAGCGAATTGAAAAAATAAAACTAAGTTTTCGGTCCTCAGGGAACATTCATCTATTCTACTGGATAAGCTAATGCAACTGCAACATGATAAATACGCCTTCCCAAATAAAATAATATGGGTAACATTAAACCCTTGGAGATGCCGTTCATCAGTTTAATTGCTCAGATTTCCCGAAATGATATTCCAGTTTGAGCTTCACTCCAACTGCTGAATTGTGGCAACCTGCTTACGAAGATTGGCCGTTGCTATAAATTTAGATTATAACCTGGCTTCAGAACTTTTATGTGACTACCAAGTCACAATAATTACAATTATTTATTCCAAACATTTGGAATTAATTTATGAATAAAGAAAGAAAAATAGTTCAAATTCAAAATTAGTCGATATACTGTGTTACTTAGTCATCAAAATTCGACTGCTACTGATAATTAAAACAAATTATGTAAGTAATCTACCTCTGTGGGTGGAACTAAATGATACCTGCTAAAGTATTAAAGACGGCACAAATCCAGGTATACCTTATGCTTCAGAGCTACTTTGTACAAAGTATGTCAACATATCTCTGCCAGCAACAAATTTAGACAAAGGAATTACCGAAAAATATAGCAAACATTCTCAACATTTATGAATCTCTGTGCTTAAAGATTCAAAATAATACTTCAAAAGGATCTCAAACTCACAGAAATATCTTATTCTTTAAAGTGGTTTCATGTAGTCCGCAAGGGTTGAAACGTTGTAGATCAGTCTTAATATACTAAATGATACCAACGTCAGTTTGTCAGGTTAATTTCAACTAAGACCTAAACTGTTTAGTCTTGAGAAATGAGTCTGATCAAAAACATCTTCCTATGCTTCTAGTCTTCTTCACTACCTTCAAAAGAAGAATGCGTATTAGAACTTGATCTTTATCGCTACTGAATACTTTCAACTCAAATCAGATTAAATGTACGTCCTAAATGCCACTACTCGCCACCGACGATCCTTAATATCGGAATGAAATCACCGAATATATCAAGGTGGCTGAAAAGCAGCTCCCATGACCGTAAAGACCGATCATTTCAATTGAAACTAATCAGAACTGCGAAACAAAAAGTCTTTATATCAAAATATATCCTTCGCACAAGTAGCAGTTATTGTGACTTGGTAATCTGATGGATGACATTTGAAATAGCTGGTGATGGGTTTGAGTCCCAGAGTGGGATTCAGGTACCTACAGATGATGAGTCTCAAAAAGGAGGACATTCGCATCCTGAATTCCAGTACTAGCCGTTATTTATACTCTATAAAATTCCACCCAATTTCAGTGATGAGTAACAATACGAATTTAATTCTTGGATGTAGTATGATTAAATACCGTTATTGTGTAGATGAGATACTCGTATTCAAATATTCTTATTCGATTACTTCGAAGTGAATAGCTTAAAACTTTTATGGAAAACTCTGTATTCAGTTAAAGTCAGGCTGTGGTTGATGTGACAGTCCCATAGGAAAAGTGGTTTTCTTCAAAGATATCGATTTATCTTGATGATGAGTGACTGCAATTATGAAACTCATGAATATAAATTACCTTATCGGTTATCTTTAATGATCTATTGCTTCCAAATGAATATTGAGAAACTTACTTCAAAGTGTAATTCTTTTCTTTTCACTCTATTAATCTGTTCATTGATTTCAATCTTAGCGTCATGTATGACAGTTTCAAGTGGTAGAATAAGGTGATTTTCGTGTTTATTACTTCCAGAAGACAAAGAAAAATGCCCACTGCAATCAGCACATAGAAGTTTACTACACTGTTTACAATAAAAGCAGGCTGACGGGGATGGCCAATTACACTGATTTCCAACGATAATCTTATTATGAACACTTACACTTCCATCAGCTGGTATTTTTTGATCAATGACTGTCATTTTTTTACCATCGTCAATTTCAGGAAACCCATGCTGTGTGCATTGAGTTGGTGGAGCTTCCCGCATTCGCAATAAATACCCATTTACCAAAATTTTCTGGAATATAAAAAGGCAATAAGGATACGTGACAATCTTATATGAATTTTTTTGTATGCAATAAGACGAAACGGAGTTGCAGTGAAAAATCTTTTTCTAGATGAAGTCATTTATTAAGCTGTAAAATATATATTCGCGAACCTACAGCTTAGTAAATGACTTCGTCAAAAACAAAAATTTGTTCTCATTGCAACCGCGTTTTGTCTTTTCCTATAACCAAATAGGTGTACTCCGCTTTTTACAATCAAAAAGTTGACCAACTTATGACTTAACACAGAAAAACGGGTTCAACTTTCATTGGCTGAGATTATAAATAAAATTCAACCAACATTTATTTAGATTCCTGTAGCAGCTTCATTAAGTCTTTTCAACGGAATATAAGGTTTCTTTCCGCACTGTAAATTCTGCGCCATATTATCCAACCTACTTTATCTGTGTACTTAAGCATAGTTGGTTTACTGTATTTTGGTTGACAGATGAAGGCCAAAGGTTTTTGACGATCTTTCAACTTTACAATCACTAATTGATGTAAATACTGTCAACCGATGTACTTTACAAATATCAACCGAAATAATCTTGGTTTATTCTCCCCTAGCACTGGTGACAACTGAAACAATATTGATCTAGTACGGTATTTCTTTCTTGTTATACCTAGAACGGCTACATTAAGTATTCTACCTCTTACGTATAAAACAACAGAGTGATTTAAAACATCTCTGATGTGATTATACTCATGAACCAAAACGTTTATACATAGTGCTATCGAATCATACAGAGTGGTCATCTCAACCAAGTGAGATATGTCTATATTTCATTTGCACATATTAGTAATTAAAAATTTCTTTATCAAGATGATTTGCAGTCATTTTTGTCTGAAGGAAGATGATATGCTGTTTACCTTTAGGATTATGGAGACAAGAACAATTCTATCTTTGGGAATTATTCCATGTAGATAGATTCAAGCATAGAATGAGGCATCTTTATAACTAAATCGTTGGAGATGTTATAATAACTGTTGCTGTTTAAAACGATAACAATTATCTTTGAAGAATTTAAATGACGTTTTTCAATGAATTTATTTTCCAGTTATACACTAGTATACAAATCTGGTATCCTAACGGCTAACTTCTGTTAGTAAATGGATTATGCTTACATATTATAAATACTGCTCGAAAGTGAATTCGCAAAAAGTATACCTGATCCTTAAATCTCGTTTTTTGACTTACCAGTTCAAGACATTAAATTGTCTAGAAAAGGAATGCATTTCATGAGCTCTGAATATATTTCACGGTGACGTTTTACTCTACTTCCTGTGATGTACATGGCGTTTGATGGAGTGATAATGTTGTTGTTCTGAAATCAAATTTTTCCTGAAAATCTGTAAACCAAGAATTTACGTGAGGAGAATGCATGTTCACTTGCAACCATACTGTGAAAAGTGAGCCTATTTATTCAACTGTGTCAATTGGCTGGATTCAGTTAGCAAGAATCCCTGAACCTAGGTTTCAGGCTTCTTGGCAATCATGAGGTAGTATTTTCTGCGACCATGAGAAAAGTTGATGTTCCCTCAGTAGTTCAGATCTACGTCGCTCAGTGCTGCAGTCAGAGAAGTAGCTACTAAGTTACTCAGATCATGACTGACAGCTTGCAGAACTGAGTTGTGTACACTAGTTGACCATCAATAGAAAACCCATATAGCTGACTATTGCTTGGAATTTAACACGAATCAAGCTTTTACAATGTAGTCACTAAACGGAATAATGCGATACTGTGGTGCACTCCGTTTTGATGAAGATGTTTAATCAGTGTTAATTACGCGGCATTTTTAAAATTCTGCTATTTGATTTTTTTTTTCATCACGGAAATTGACGACTCTATTGAAGTACAGTGCTTTTGGAATGAAAGCATACTACTTTATGATCAATAAAAATTTATACTACGAGGTTAATGCTAATAAACTCATATAAGCAGGGAATCCTTTCGTCTTTGTGTAAGGCCACAATCCCCCGCTATTGTGGCTAAATTAAACCACATTAGGTTAATTGTCTTTCTTTTTCTATGCAGGTCATATACAACCTAGTTATTCTGCTATTTTCAGTATTGTTTACTAAAAGAATAAGGAATTACTTGTGTTGTCAGGAGATAAATTTCAGATTCAAATACTGGTAGGCTAAAGTAACTCCTTGTTATTATACTTGTAATTTCCCGTTGCTATACAGGGCCGAACTGCTCAAGCTCTGTTGGCAGATGGGCTCCTGTGAGGATCCGACGATAATGCTGAATATTCATGATGTTATATTGATCTTCGTGACTAACGGGGTACTTCAGGACAAGCGTATAGTCCTATTTGGGACCGGAGAGTTAGGTGCGTTTGCATCGAAGAGTGAGTTTATACTACTGAGTCTTGAACCCAACACCCATCGCTTCAAGATAACATCATGAATATTCAGCAATATAGAGGGATTCGCATAGGAGCCTATCTGCCAACACAGGTCGAGCGATTTGACCCTGTATAGCGACGGGAAATTACAGGTATCTTAACAACAATTGACACCCGTTGTACAAGAGGTAGCCATCGTGTCCCAGTGGCTTAATGAGTAATAAGTAATACTCTAGCGTTTGAAGTGGTGGGTACTGTGTTCGGGCCCCAGAGGGAACAAAATCGCTCACTGGGTTGAAGATACATCCAGCCTACGAGTCTCGAGTAGGGAAAATGCGCGTTCTGGATTCGTCTATTAGTCACCAAGATCAATATAACAAAATAAATGCTTTTAATTAGTCATTGAGAACAAGATCGACCCATTTACGTAAAGTGGTTGTTTGGTAATAACCAATTTTATCTGTCAAGAAAGGCAATCTTGGCAATAAGCTGTAGTTCAGAGCAGCCTATGTTAAGTGTTTCGGGCTAGGTGGTAGGAAGGAATGTTAATTACTATTAAATTCGTAGTAATGATGTGAATCTTCACCTTTGACAGTGATTAGCGTCAAATTAACCTAAGGACAGTTTATACAATATTATCTTTTTTTTAAAATCAAGCCAAATGAAGCTAGTCTCCAACTCGTAAAAGTTACCTCACTCAGTGGCTTATTTCCAGGAGTATGATGGTCCCATAAACGACAAGAACTTTAAAAGGAATTTGATAAGCCATATAAATGACTGTAGTTTACTTTTGTTTCATTAGTTATCTTTTTACTTGGTTTCAAGATAAATTTGATAATGAATCATACATTGCAATTGGAGGTGTTGTTTACCCTACAGCCACGAAGGTTGTCGTTAAAACAATCCATTCTAGAAGGGTTAACTTGTCAACCACATGAATGGTCACCTAATAGACGGTCCCAGACGGGTAACGCTAATAACTTTATGCATGAAAATTCACCAATAATGCAAAATAGTAGATTAAACTGTCCACTGTGCTGATTCAATTCTGAAGTTCAAGTTGACATTGTGACCACCAAAGTAAAGGAATCAGAATAGTGATGACTTATATTTAGGTTGTGGAAACATTCAAGTAAAGTCCTCTCAAATAAGTCTTGTTAATATGGTACAACTGCAGTTTGGAGGGGACAAATTCATCATATGTCATCCAGATGTGCCGTTAGGCATGTAATCACTCAACTACTGGGTTAACCAATAACTTTCATGAAGAGTGAATTAAGGAAACCAGTAGTTCATTGAAAAGTAAATTATACGATCTCACTGGATTCTGGGTAACGACATTCTTTTCTTGATACTTACCATCAACAGGTTAAATCTCTCACACATTTAAGTTTCATTGAGTCGTTAGATTCTATACAGTGTCAGATCTAAAAAGAAGGGAATGCTGAACTGCATACAGTTCCAATAAAATGGGTTGAGGTGTGTTAATGGTTGGTAAAAACTTGAATTAATTAGCCTATTAATGGACTAAACATTGTATAGGTCCTTGATTTCTAGAATTCTGTTCCTCAACAAGCAAACAGCATCACTACACTCCTTGATAAACAGATTTTGACCGACATTGATATTTACAACACTGTCCTAACTATTCTGTGTTGACCATCCTATATGACAAATGTCTGTACCGTATATTCCATCTAACGACTAATGGACAAGTCATTTTAGAGGGACGTAGTATATGCTTAGTGTTTGGATTTCAAAAACAGTCTCCTCAGTACACTCATTGTAGTGACTAGTTGAAAGGTTAAGCTTCACAACTAAGGTTGAATATTACTGTTACCAATTAATAAATATGTCGAGATATAGTGCTTGGGTGGAAATAACCACGAAACTGATTTCAGGTTACCTTAGCACTAGTGAAGACGGTCTCCAAACCCTCGACTAAACAAATACTAAAAGACGAAACAAATGAACGCTGGTTTACATTAGTAAACAGTAAAGAAACACGTGCGCAAATTTTGCAGAAAAAAATATGTGTAATTAAACGTTATCTCAAACATAAGTAACGATTATGGAATTACATTAACCAGTCAGTCTACTTCCTTAATATCAAACTTGACTTTTTTACCATTCTTTCAGTGAGTAGCTGTGTTTCTGTCTACTGCATGCATGCAACAGTAATAACAATCTTTTGACGCTGTTGTATTCACCTTTCGGTAGGACAGTGATGTTTTTCAGCCTCAACAACAAACGGTTTGTCTCTCTTTCTCTCTTTCTGTCTATCTTTTGTAACTAAGTAGTTTATAATGATTTTCTGGAAAAAAAAATAACATTTAAATAATCGATTTATTGATCAGATTTCTGAATAAATGTGGTTTTTTTTTCACTTCTTTGATACAGTGTATCCTTACATATTACAGTTACTAGAAATTCATCGTTTAAAAAAAGTGAAGTACAGGGGTGAACAAATGTATGAATCAATGGTATATTGTCTCTCATCTAGCTCGAACAGTCTAGAAGCGGGATAGAAAATCGAGTATCCTTATTAAAACTGGTCATCGGTATGCATTTAGGATTAACTACTTTCCTG